CCATGGCATTGCCTATGGATTTAGCGGCCACTACGACGAGTACTTTACTGGAAACACCGACGAGGAGGCCGTGGTGTATCTGATGCTGGCCAACTACATGTGCCACAAACTGTACCCCGGGTTCGTCACCATCGCTGAAGACGTGTCGGGGATGCCTGCGCTGTGCCGTGGGGTTTCGGAGGGCGGAGTGGGATTCGATTACCGCCTGACAATGTCTGTTCCCGATATGTGGATCAAGATGCTCAAGGAAACCAAGGACGAGGATTGGGATATGACCCACATTGCTCACCAGCTGACTAATAGACGGTACCAAGAGCGCGCCATTACTTATTGTGAGTCGCACGACCAAGCCCTGGTGGGTGACAAGACTCTGGCGTTTTGGCTGATGGATAAGGAAATGTACACGCATATGAGTGATACTACACCGCTGACGCCTGTTATTGATCGCGGTATTGCCTTGCACAAGATGATCCGCCTGGTGACCTGTGCATTGGGTGGCGAGGGTTACTTGACTTTTGAGGGCAACGAGTTTGGTCATCCAGAATGGCTCGATTTCCCACGCGAAGGCAACGGATCCAGCTTCCACTATGCACGCCGCCAATTCAACCTGGTGCACGATGGACTGTTGCGGTACAAGTACTTGTATCGGTTTGACCGTGCTATGCTCCATCTCGAAGCCCGCTACCATTGGTTATCGTCCCGCGACCAATGGGTGACGCTCAAACACGAGGTCGATAAGATCCTGGCGTTTGAGCGTGGCGGTTTGCTGTTTGTCTTTAACTTCCATCCCACCAACTCGTACACTGACTACCGTGTTGGTGTGGCATGGCCCGGCAAGTACCGCGTTGTGCTGAGCTCGGACGATGAGCAGTTCTTGGGCCATGGCCGCGTTGACACGAGCGTCGAGCACTTTTCGACGCCCATGGAGTGGAACGGCCGCGAGAACTACCTGCAGCTGTACCTGCCGGCGCGCACGGCCATTGTTCTGAGCAACAAGGAAGAGTAGAGTAAGGAGCATGAGCTGCTGCTGGCTGGGCTAGCTAGCTAGCTAGCTGACCAAGCGATCCGACACACTCTCTCACTTTTGGTCTGTTTTTCAACACCTTTCTATTCACAAAATAAAATATAATAAAATAAAAACCACTACGTATGCCTGCATCTATTTTCAGTACCACTGCGCGGCTACCCGCAGCACATAGACCGGCACCCAGTAGGCCATTCCAAATGCCACGCCGGACGCAACTTCCGCCGGGCCATGAAAGTAACGTGCCGTCGAGTACAGCGTCGCACCCCACAGACACACCAGCGCACCAGTCAATGCCACAGCCACGACCTCTGCCGAAAAGCACCCCTCCGCCCTGCGTATATCCCGCGACCCCGAACCACGGGAGCTAGAGCGTATTCTGTGGAACAGCGGGGCCAAGACTTCTTCAACAAGAAACAGCGCAGAATGCAACAGCAAAAAGCAATGGCCCGAAGCGTCGTGACCGCCGATCCACATACCGCCCACTTTTCTACACAAAGTAGCCGACTGGGGCATGTACACAGTGCCGCCGGCATTATCCAAAACCGAATCAACCGTGCATTTACCGCCGGTATGCACGTATAGACGATCCAGCAGTGCAGGACCAAAGAACCATTGCGACACAAACACCCAGTACAGAGTTGCCAGCATGTACCGCGATAGACGCCGTCCCACTGCGAGTCTGCTGGGGAGCAGTGCCGAGGCCAGAGCGTAGCAAAGGGACGTCCATCCCCAGCCGACCTTGGCAAAGTACTTGTTGATTACGCTGGATTTGCGTCGGGCTACGGATGCTGTGGAGAAGGAGTCGGCCTTGGGCTCTCGGAGTGCTAGGCCGTAGCACACGAGGAGTAGAAGGATGCCGAGAACCAGCAGGGCTGGGCGCCGGTCGTCCCGGGCCACAGCAGTACGACGCCGCGGTGCTGTACGGACCGACGACATTGCAGATTGAAGAATGAATTCTAGAAGGTATAGAGACGAAATAAATTAGTAAAGCAAAGAGCAAGTCTTGGCACGCCCGTGTGTCCGTCTCTTGTTACAATGCATCCACGTCATCTGTGGATCAGCAGATCAAATCATCGGGGCTTGCGGATGATGTGTGGATTGTGGGATGCGTCATCGACAGTACAGCACAGACATGAAAAATTGGGGGGGGGGGCGGGCGGACGATGCTTGCGTTGCTGCATGGGAGGTGCCTTGCTGCCACGTGCATCAGAAAAGCGCGCCAGCATTTTCTCAGTCTGGGTTTCTGTGTGCGCTGGTTTTTATTGCGCAGGTGTGGATGATCGGGTGATCGGCCACCGAGCACTTCTGTTGTGCAAAGAGCAGCAGCGTAAGGGCGGTCGCTTGGCTTGGAGAAAAGCGCAGGCAAATCTCTCAGCCTCCCCGCGCAAAAACACGCACGGCTTTTTCTTGCCTCCAAAAAACGCCTCTCGAGCCTCCCGCGCTTTTGTGTGCAAATGGGCTCCAGCAAAGAAAGCGGCGGAAAAGGAGGATCTGTTCTCTCTCCGGCCGCAGAAAAAGTGTGTGGGAAGCAAAAGGCGCCCGGAGGAAGAGGCGCGGCGGAGAACAGCCAAAAGACGCAGCCGCACCCCTCCAAGGCAAGCCCCATCTGCCCCCTTCCCTCCTTCCGGCGCCGGACATGTTCGCCGCAGCTGAGAAAGCCAGAATGGCACGGGCGTGACCCAAGGCAAACAACCGAGTGCGCGGCCATCTCGAGTCTGCGCGCATATAGTCTCTAAACGCGCAGTGCAGAGCCTTTTTCTTTCTCTCTCTCCTCCCGGGCACACACCATCCTTTCTTTTTTGCTCTATCCACTCCACCTCTGTCTTTTCCTCGATGACCACTGCATCGCCTCCCGCTCTGCCGCCCGACGACCCGCAGCTCTGGACGGTCGACGACGTGCACCGGTGGGCCGCTGCCCAGCCGTTGATAGCGGCCGTAGCCCCGGTGCTGCGCGAACACAAGGTCGACGGCCACGTACTCATCCACTACATAAAGAACGCCGTGCTGGCCGACGAGCTAGGCATCACGGCATTCGGCACCCGCGTCTACGTGCTCGAAGCCATCGAGACGCTGCGCTGGCAGACCGGCCTAGCATCCCACCGGCTCCGCGCCTCATCGCTATCACAGACGCCAGAAGAGTCGCCGCCGCGGTCGCTGAAAGACGAGGACGAGATGGCGCTGGCTGATGAGGAGCGGCCGGGGCGTTCGGCATCGCGTGTGGCTGATGCCGAGAAGAAGCGGCAGAAGCGAGCTGAGCTGAAGAAAAACCCGGTGCTGTACGCAGAGTACCTGCAGAAGGAGCGCGAGCGCAATGCGCGCCGGAGAGCCCGGCTGCGTGCCGAGCGGGGGAGGTCGAATTCCAGCGGCAATGCCCACGACTTCGACATCGACGACGGCGCGTTGGCCCGCGCCTACGACGCCCAGCGCCCCTTTGCCGTGCCGCAGTACGCGTTTGCCGAGCCCGGGCCCAAGCGCCAGAAACACCATCTGCCGCCCGCCCACGCCGCCTAGCCGCGGGCCCTCCCGGCGCCCATCACCAGCAAGCGTCGCCGGCACGCGGCGCAAACCACGCTACTCCACAAGCACTGCCTAAAAACAACCCTGTCACCGCATCGCAAATACACTGTCTCTCAAGCCAAGCTCCAAATACACTTTATTTTTTATCCCTGTTTCAATACACTCCTTTCTCTCCAAAACCCGCATGCTCCGCCCTCCCGCCCCGCGCCCCCTCGCGCCGGCCCTGCGCCAATCGCCGACGGGCTCCCCCTCCTCCAGGCGATCCCCGCTCCCGCTCCCGCTCCCGCTCCCCCTACCGCTCCCGCTCCCCCTCCCCCGCGCCCGCACGCCCAGCGCCCAGCGCCCAGCCGGAGGAGGGATCGACCCCTGCCCCCCACCACCCGTGCCTTTGCCCGCCCTGAACCGAGCCACGGCCCCCCGCTGATTTCCGCCTCCCCTCCCCACCATTGTCCCCTCTCCCATGCATTCCCGCCCGCGTCACTTCCCGCCGATGCTTCCCTTTTCTCTCTCTGCCGCTCACCCGCAGGAGGATCTGCTTCTTCTCGCAGCTGCCCGCGGCACAAAAAACCCATCCCCTCCACCCGCCGCCCACGTGCATTTGCCCGCCTCCTGCTCCCACATGACCCGCCCACTCCGCCGTGCGTCCTGCCGCTTGCGTGTCCCGCGCGTCTCCCGGCCCCCGAACCCCTCCCTGCCACACACCGCCCAAGGGTCCAAGGCACACCGCCGCCTCCGAAGGGCCCTCATCCTCCTCCGGGAAAGTGCCCCATACACCCTCGGCGCCTACCGGGACCGCCGGTCCATCTGCAAACACACCCCATCCAAAAACACACCCTGTCTGCTTGTCTGCTTGTCTGCTTGTCTGCTCGCCACAAGCCACACCCAACAACCCCCTTTCATAAAAGGATCCACATACATTTTTTATTATTTTCCAAAATACAAAAACACCCTATTCGGCAAAGCGACGTGCTCCCGGTGCAAACTGCGGATCCGCTTCAATCACCGTCCGATTGTGCGCAAACAACCGGTTCACCAGCGCCTGTCTCTTGATCACCTCCAGCTGCTCCCGACCCTCCTTCATCGCACGCTGCACCTCTGCCGCGTCCATGTTGCTCCGCTTCGCCTCGTGCCGGAATTGGTCGCGCGTCCGCCGGTAAAAGTACTTGCGGAAATTGTACGTCTCAAACCCCTGCGCTGCCTTCAGCGTGCTACGGTACAGCTTGAGAATCTCGGCCCGTGATGCTCCCGACATTATTATGAATTTTAAAAGTCTTGACCGCTGTATATAATTAATAGTAAATCCAAAACTAAGGAGAGAAAAACAACTGTGTATCTCGCTCTTTCCATTTAGTCATCTTTACTCGTATTTTTATTTGCCCGCCTATCCAGCCAATAGAATCTTATTCCGCCCGTCCAAAAATATTGCCCACCCAAAAAATAAATCAAAAGCAAAAAGTAGCACCTCCTGGTTTCGATCCAGGGACCTCAGGGTTATGAGCCCTTCTCGATTCCTCTGCGCCAAGGTGCTTTCCGCACACTAGAACAAGCTAATAATGCACGTTGGGTGTCGTCCTTTTACATATGTATAAAGTCCACGCTTGTGACTTTGCGTTATTGGGTTACTTGGATACATTTACTCATTTTACAACAGAAAACATTAGAAAAACAAATTTTTATAAATACATTTGATACCAAATTCACTTTTCTTACTTTCATAAAGGCC